CCCCCAGCCCGCTCACCTTGTGGCTCTGGTAGGTCTCCAGCGCCCGGATGGCCGTCTCGGTGAGCTTCACATGCAGCACGGACCGACCCCGCGCCCCGCCCCGGGCTCGCCTCATTGGTCTCGTTCCCCTCAGGGCCGCCCTCATTGGCCGCCCTCACTCTCCAGGGGGCGGGGCCCAAAGTCTCTGGAGTTTTGCTCCCGGGACGGGACGTCCGAGAGGTGAGAAGCTGACGTCGAGGTGACGCGCCAACTTAATCACATCTGACGTCACGTCTGGTCGTTCCGGCTCGCGGGTCGCAATTGGCCTGGCTGTTTTGGAGAGCCTCTGCTAATTGGGTGCCCAGGTTTGCCTGGTCTGGTTACCTGGAGTCGGAGCCTCTCCCCTTGGGGGGTAAGGTGGAGAGCCAGGAGAGCGGGCTTCGGTCTTCCTGCTCTGGTGGTCCCAGGAGAGGGGGTTCCCCACTCTAAAACTGCGAGGGCGTGGCGGTAGCCCAATTAGGGTTTGATCCCCCGAGGGTTCCGGAAGCTCTTGGAGTTTGGGGTGCGCTGAGGGAGGTCGCAGTAGGAGTCGCCCAAGTGTCTCAAGGCTGGGTTCAGTAGGTGGTTGAGCAGGTGGGATTGGGAAAACACTTCTTGTTTCACTCTAAGCTGGGAGTTAAATGACCCCAGGCGTTCGCAGTTGCGTTGGACCCTGTGGAGCACCTTAAGTACAAAACCGTGCCTTAGCTTAAATGCCTTTCGTCTGGTGGGCAGAGTATAACAGAGAATTGAACTTCAAGGTCTCCCACACCAGGCCTGTGGAGATCCCAGGGGAACGGGACACTTTCCTCTGTAGTTTACCACGTGGGCCGGATTGTGGTTTTTACAGGGAATGGTATCTCCATTTAAAGGACCGTAGAAGACGAATAGAATTGGCCTTGACCTAAATTAAAAGGTACATGGACACCTTTCTTCCTCTGGTTCTGTAAAGGTTCTGTCCATTTACTAGACAGGGCTGTGGGAAAACCCAGCCAAGCTTTAAGCCTGGGAAATGGGCAATTGAGGTTAAGCAGGGGAGATAGGGGCATGAGCAGAGTGCAGAGGCCTGGCATGCTTTTTAGTCCCAGCGAAGCATGGTGTGTAGGCGTGGCTAAAGGAACCAGCTAATCTGGAGTCCTCCTTGGGCTTCCAGGGATATGTTAATTGGGTGATCAGAAACACCAGATAAAAACATAATTGAAAGGTTTGACGCTGTTGAAAAGTCATTTTAAAAATTTACTTTTTTTTTCTCTTTTAAAATTTTGGACGCTTTTGTTACCTTCAGGTTGTTAAACCTTGTGTTTTTTTCCCGGGATTCCCCAGGAAAATTTATACCGCATTCTAAGAGGGCTATGATTTTTTCCATGAATAAATATCTTTCCCACACTACGTACCCTCTCTTTGAATTCAGACCCTAAAGCTTTGTATGTGTATGTGAGTTACAGAACAAATTCTTTCCATAGCGCATGGGTTACATGGAAACACCTGTGTTAACTGTTGGTTGCATCACAGGAGAGCAGTTTCTAAATTGACTTAATTTCAATCCACTAGAGCTGCTAGCTGTTAAAACATGATTAACACTTGTTAATTTCATTTACTTTACTATTACTACAGAGTGTTAATTAATTAAATTGAATAGGGAAATTAAGGCAATCCCCCCAAAATTGGATTACGAACTTTACTTTATAGAAGCTTTATTACTTAGTTTCCTCAGCCTTCCCAAAGTATAAACCTTACTTAAAGAATTTATATCTAAAGTGGACTGTAGTTTAAGAAGAATTCTGAACTTGAATAATCCCTTTCTCCTGTTTGCTTTACTTTGATAGAGAAGTACTGACCTCATAATCTAAAGCCTTAATTATTTATTTGAAGGGGAAGGGGGAGGAGAGGTTTGAGCAGAACAAGTATAACCTGTATCCCAGTGCTTTTCTGGTGAGGGTGGGTAAGTCCCCGCCCACATGACATCCTAATTTGGCCTCCTCTTACTCAGAAATTCTAATGACATCCAAGGGGTGGGGAAGAGCAAGGATGGTTTTCACTGCAGATTTCAAATGTCTGACATTCAGCCCCTTCCAAGTAACTGAATTTCCTTTTCTTAATTGCGGTAGATAATTATTTCTCATGCTCCATTTTAGTGGGTAACAACTCTTTCAGTAGGTAATATATTGTTGTAGTGAGTTAATGTTTCTATTTTCGCCTTTGGAGCTTTAGACTATGGACCTGAGGGATGATCAGACACAGAGTAACATGGTAATCTAATAGTGTCTCTTCATTGATTTCTCACAGGCAAAGTGCATGTGAGCATGCCTAAATTGGATGGTCAAATTGTGAAGCTGATAAGGTTAGTTAGTTTTGATGGGGCTGATGAAAGTTGCTCTTTGGGAAGATTACCATTTCATACATATTTTTGTATCTCTATTTGGTTTAAATAATTAGCAAATAATCATTGAATGCCAACTGAATATAACATGCCATCAAGGATTTAAAAATTAAACTGTAGGGTCTACCTGGTAAAGCAGTGGTTATGTGCTATGCCTGAGAAGCTGAATACCATATGATGACCACAGTTCAAATCCTGGTTCTGGTGGTTTGAAAAATATGCCAGTTGTGTATGCCCAGGATCTTGACTGAATGGAGAAATGGAGGAAAAAGGACCGTGTCATGACCACACTCCACCGGGGGATTCTCTCTCTCTCATGAGTGCACACATCCTCGGGGGGAGGGGGGGAATTAGTCTCTGAAGGAATTTTCTGTTTAAATGTGGAGAATAGACCAACATATTCAAAGCAAAGCCATTAGAGAATTGGTAAATGCAAATTTTGATGGTGATGATAAGCTCAAAAATTCAAAGAAAAGAGAGGTTTGAAGTGGTTTTGTGGAGGCAGTGGAACTTGAACATATCTTGAGGGCTGAGTAGATTTTAGATAAGTGGAGGTGGTACAGATGGAAAGAGACTAACTACAACCCATCTTAATCATTCTAGCTGATCCCATTCATTTTATGAATAAGCAAATTAAGACCTTGTTAACTGAAAAGCAACCTACTGGCAGTCTCCCTGGTGCAGAGGTAAGACACTGCTCAGGAAAAGCTGATTCCCACTGAGCGGGACCACTGTCGTTTCAGTCCGCTGCCTGGTCATCCTGAAACACACTAGGCAGGCATCTGAGTGGCCGGGATCTGGTAGATTGGAGGAATGGGACTGTGGCATGTTCAGATCTTGTAGAAGATGCTTCCCTCTCTCTGTCTCTTGTCTTTCTCATGTTTGTACACATCTCTATCATAAATAAAGATCTCTGTCATAAAAAAAGAAGAAAGAAAATCAGTCTGCTTAACCTATCATTCATATCATATCTGAATCAGCTGCTTTTCTAGTCCTTAAATAAACTGAGTAGCTTTGTTTGCATTTAATAACTGAAATAAAATCTGTCTTAGAAAAGGGACCAGCAATTAGCGTAATGGCTATGTCGCTGGACTCCCACGTAGTCGACCGCGGTTCGCGTCCCAGACCCGGTGGCTTAAACTCACACCGGGCATGTGTGCGTGTGTGCCCAAGATCCCGAGAGGAGAATGGAGGAGAAGGGATTGTGGCATGGCCATCCCCCCTGGGGGTTGATTTCTTGCTTTCTATCTCTCTCTGTCTGTCTGGCGAGCACACGTGCCCTACAGCAAAAAAACCTCTCCAAAAAAAAAAGAAGAGAGTTCAAGTCAGGGAAGAGTGAAAAGGTTGTAGTCGGACCCAGGACTTGATCCGTGTGTCTAAGCACAATGCACACAGAGGTTGTCTGAAACATCAGGACCTTTGGTGGCTTTCAGATGCTGGGCCACTCCTCAGCCCTGACTGCTGCATTTTTAATGGCCATTTCTCACATCACTGGTGGTGAGGTCACTCACTAATTTAGATGCCTTCGGGGAATACTGGGTACCCAAAATGACTGGAAAGGCCAGACACTGTCGTAGGAACTGATGATGCTGTGCTGGGATGAGCTGAAGGTGTTGAAAGAGCTCAGTGATTTCTTGGTCCAGCTAATTGTTGCCAGGTGAACATGCAGGGGCCCAGTGTTACCAAATATTTAAATTTTTCAGTAAAAGTTAAAAAATAAGGATTTTATGTGAACCTCTAGATATGTATGTATTATTATAGCACCTAATTAAACTTCTCTCTTTTTTATTTTTTTTTTAAGTATTTGCTATAAAGTGCATGTGCTTGCCCCAGAGAGAGAGGGAGAAAAAGTGAGGAATTGTCCTCTAGGGAGGATGGCCACACTGCAGTCCCTTCTCTTCCAATCCTTCTCTGGATTTGGTGCATGCACACACATATGCCTAGCATGATTTTCAAGCTACCAGGTCTGAAATTCAAATCATGCAGCCAGCCGTGTGGGATCTAGTGCCTTAATCTTCACACCACCTGCTGGCCCTAAACATTTTCTGGACATTAAAAAGTGTTTGACCTAGAGTTAGCCCACAGATTTGTAGTTTCTAACATCAGCTTTAATGATTTTTATTTTTTTAATTTTTAAGGTTTGTTTTGTTTTTATTTTTTGCTAACGGACGCATGCGCTCACCAGAGACAGTCAGAAGAAAAGTGAACAATCACAACCCCCACCCTCCAGAAGGGACCCAGCCATGCCACAATTCCTTCTCCTCCTTTTTTCTCCTGGGATTTTGGGTGTGCATACACCCAGTGTTGAGTTCCAAGCCACTAGATCTGGGACTCAAACCATGGTCAGCCATACGGGACTCTAGCACCTTAACCGCCTGCTGGCCCAGATTTACTGATTTCTAATGCAGAAGATTATTCTGGCTTTTAAATCTGTCTTAGCAGTTTTGTTCTTTTAAAAAATTACCTATACAAAAAAATTAATGTCTATTAATGGCTAATATAAGACAATGGCTTTTGTTATACAGACAGAACACAGAGCATAAGAGAGTTACAGCAGAAAAGCTCTTCAGATGGGGAATTTCTGGGTAGAAATCCTTTTTCCTTGACATTTTCTCTCTTATGCTTTGTTGTGTCTGACTCTCACCATTACACTGTTCTCTTTTCAAGACCTTGCCCATCCCTGTACAAAAAAATTCACTTTCCTTCAGTAAAACTATAGAGGAGTTTGATGATTTTAAACAAACCCTCTAAATGTTTACAGAGAATGAAAACGAAATTTTGGGCAGGCCCCGTGGTGCAGTGGTTAAGAGCTGTACTCAGAAAGCTGGTTCCTCCAGGGCTGACTACAGTTTTAAAATAGCCCGAAAGTCATGCTAGGTACATGCACAGATATGCCCCAAATCCTGAAGGGATGGAGAAATGGGAGAAGAATGATTGCAGCATGACCATGCTCCATGGTGTGGGGCGGGGAAGGTCCCTCTCTCTCTCTGGTAAGTGCGTATGTCATCTGGCAATAACAACAGGAAAAGGAAAATTGTAGTCTTGGAATAAGGAAATACCCTTCATGATCCTCTCCACCCGGTTCAGACCCCTTCTTCATTCTTGGTGGGGCTAAGTAGAAGGCCAGGTGGGCAGGGCTAACTCTTGTCATATTGAACTCGCAGCACTCTCTAGCTTCCTAAAAGAGAGACATTCGGTCCTAAAATGGAGGAAAAATTGCGGTGTGGCCAGGTCTTCCCTTGGAGGGTGATTTCTCACTTTCTCTCCGACTGTCCTGGTGGATCCCCAGGTGAAGGGCAGTCTTTTGGAAGTTGTATGTCCACTGGGGACAAAAAGACTCAGACTGGATTCTTCTGTACAGCAAGAAAACCCTCTCCTTTGCTTGTTGAGGGAAATGTCCTGTCCGTAGAATTGCAAAAGATAATGACTGAACTGCCCCTTTCTCCCACATGATAATTGTTTTATGGCTTTTCAGCATAATGCAAAGTGCCCTAAAGGATGCCAGCTATGCTCAGAGAAAGAGAAGAATGGTGAATGACCTAATAACTCCTACCATTTCCATGCTATTTTGTACTAAAAAGGAGCATGTGCATTTCTGAAAGAAACTGAGGAATGAGGAAGAATACAGGGGGAGAAAATGTCTGTTTAACTTTTTACTTCTTCTTCTTTTTTTTTTTCTTTTTCTTGGGAGAGGTTTTTGCTATAGGGCACATGCACTCGCCAGAAAGACAGAGAGAGACAGAGAGATAGAAAGCGAGAAATCACCCCCTCCCCAGGGGGGATGGCCACACCACAATCCCTTCTCCATTCTCCTCTCGGGATCTTAGGCACGCATGCACATGCGCTCGGTGTGAGTTCAAGCCACTGGGTCCGGGACGCGAACCGCGGTTAGCTACATGGGAGTCCAGTGACATAGCCGTTATGCTAACTAACTGTTGGTCCCTAGCTTTTTACTTCTAAACATGGAAATAATAGACCAAATGCCATCAACATCAAGAATGATATAATCATTGATAGCTTATTCTTTTTATTTACTTATTTATTTGTTTCTTTATTTATTTTAATTTGACCAGAGAGGAACAGAGAGAGAGAGGGTAAGTGAGTAAGCAAGCTGCCAGGTCTGGGACTCAAACCAGAGTAGGCCATGTGGGAGTCCAGAGCCCTTAACAACCATGCCACCTGCTGACCTCAATAGCTTATTCTTGATAAGGCTTCACAGCTTAAAAACAATTAAGTTACATTATCTTTGAATTTTCTCTAAAACTCTGTGATACTGACATTGTTATATGCATGCTACCCTTGAAGCAACAGGTTCAAAGAGGCTGTGTAAACCCGGTTTATTCAGGGACCGAGCCAGGCCATAGGATTTCCTTTTCCAAATCTAGCACATCTGCCTTTGAACATGGCCCTAAGGTCTGAGGAATTATACTGAATGTGTCAGGTTGTCACAGTGAAATTAGTAAAGTCAAAGTGGTTGGTTCTATTTTCTTGGGTAGTGAAATTAATAGAGAGTGGTTGGTTCTATATCCTGGGGCAGGTTTGAAGTTGGATTTTGTTGTTGGTCTTGAAAGCAAGAAAGCAAGACTTAAGTCATTTGAATCATCTCTTCCACACAAATACTAAATAGTCTTCTAAATAGCAAATGGCAAACAAAATGATCCATTCAGTTTTGATTTATTATAGCATGCTGACTTTAGTGAGGTAATTCTATTTTGATGTGTGGAATATCTAATTTGTGATAGATTGGAGCCCTTGGTATAACAAATACGTGTGCTGCAGAGTGCCCATTGGTGAAAGCTCAGATTGTAACTGTAAGTTATAAAGATTCACAGCTGTTATATCTTTGCTTTTACTGCATGTTCCTATCTATGATTTATTTGATAATGAGTGTCTGGATAAAAGGAGAATCCCCAATAATATAATGTCTTCCCGTGGGAAAATGCATTTGCTTTATGACATGGTTTCCAGAACATATGCCAGAGAGTATAGAATAAATATCACATACTTGAGCACAGAAGTCTTTTCTGATTTTATGTAAAGGGTTTGAATTGCAGCTGTGGCTGACCCCATTTTGTTTTCAATCAGCCATTTATGCAAGTACGGTATTTATCATCTTTGATCTTTGGATCTGTTAAGGCATACAAGGAGAAGTTCATGGAAAATGGAATTAAAGTGTGAGTTTATTTCAATAAAAAGTTTTTTTTTTTCAATTTTTTTTTCTTTTTGCCATAGGGCACGTGCACTCGCCAGAGAGAGACAGGAGACAGAGAAGGAAAGTGAGAAATGACCTCTCCAGGGAGATGGCCATGCTGCAATCCCTTCTCCTCCGTTCTCTTGTTGGGATTTTGGGCATGCACACACATGTGCCCAGCATTTTCAGGCCACCAGGTCTGGGACTCGAACCATGGAGTCAGCTTCATGGCATCCAGCACTGTAACCACCATATCATCTACTGGCCTCAATACAAAAAATTTTTAAAGTCTGTGAATAATTTTTTTCATAAATATGCACTTTCCATGAACTTTTGAAAACCTACCTTCTCCACCCCCTTCCACCCTGCCCCAGTTTTGGGATATTTTGCTGTTGCGTTGGATTTTGGAAAATTAAGAAGAAACAAGACCCTAACAGGCTAGGATATTTACAGAATTAGAAAGACAGCAGTGTAGTCTGGCAGAT